CCAAGGCAGGCAGATGGAGAGTTTGGGACATAAACTAGAACCAGGGCCAAGGATAAGCTCCGGGCATTGGCGGGCCAAGTCCGGAGCTTCATGAAGCTTTGTACCATGTCCTTTTGGTACACCGAAACATGTCCAGCAAAACCATACAAAGTCTTCATAATTTCTCATCATGTTTTTACCCAAACGCTCCATGTACGTCGTATTTCCCTACACTGACCCCGGTTCAACCACCCCAATGTATGCCAATACGGATCTTTTTGGGTGTGGCCCTGGGCTCCTGATGGCTCGATACAAGTTTCCACGCCAGGCCCGTGTCTTCGCGAAGACGGATCGCGATCTCGTGGTGGAGTCAGCCCTGCAGATGTTTTTTGAGCCGCGCCGTGAGGATTGATGTCACAGGAGGTGTTGAATTACCAAGACGCTCATTCATAAGGGATCGCACCCGACTCCTCTGGAGGGTGGGTTCTCAAATGTCTGGGTGTTGAGGGACCTTGGAGCGTTTGTTTGGAGAGTCTGGGTGCTGATTCTCCAGTTGATCCAGCGATGACTTGGTCAGGAATCGTGTGAGTCAAGTATGATAAGTATGAGTGTTCCCGATCGGGTTGTACCCAGACGCGACCGGTGGGACTAGCATAGTTGCCTGATCAGTTTGGGGCACTTTGGGGAGGTCAATGTATGGGCAATTATAGGCACATGCAGTCATATCTCTATATATATACATATATAGTAATATAATATATATATATATGTATTTTCATGTATTTTCAATTATAGTCCATACAGGAGAGTGTTTGATTCCTGATAGTGGACACTGGGATCGGCTTTTCGTTTCATATCTCTTCCGGAGTCCACCCTTCCGTGGTCACTGGGCATATTTGGGGAGTTCCGATGACTCATGAATTAGTTTGCATCGTTTCAGGAATGAGATGTGTAGAGTCTAGCTGTTTTCATTTGAAAACGAATGGAACCACACTTACCTCAGACCATTTCAGACATCATCATCATCATCCATCATCATCATCATCATCAACATGGGATTCTGCTGCCTCCATGTTCCGCCAGGTTCTTTTCATATCTGTTCAAGACACTTTGTTTATCAAACATGAGTCAGGTTGTTTCTTTCGCTGCCGCTGCCGCAACACATCGCTTTCGCCCCCGGTCCAGTGAAGGTGCCCGACAAAACCAGCACCCAGTTTGGATGGCGATTGGAGGGTCAATACGTGGTATACCGGGGGGCTTTATGTTCACCCGATTCCCTGGGTGCTGACACACCACAACTGCTTGCTCGCCGGGGCCAGTGGGGCAGTTGGAGTTGGAGTTGGGCGCTTTCTGCTGGCTCAGGGCAAGTTGCAGGCTGTTGATGAACACGTGGTGAATTCACCAAATATCAGCTGAGTTTGCACTATGTTCAGCCACATCCCTGCAGATTCCTGCAGATTGCAACATGCATCGCTGGGTTTGGTGACGTTTACAGAAGGAGTAGGTGTTACTTGTTGTGACCTGTTGCGTTTGTGTCATGATCTCCTGAGGTTGCGTTCGTGTGGTATGGGGCTTGCCGAGCCCTGACAAGTAGTGAGAAGTGGATCCTGGCCATGCTTGGTTTGTTTATTCCAAAGACCGATGTATGTAGAACAATGCTTCCTATATAAGCCAACTCTGTGTCCCTGTTGTCTTCCGAGTATGGACGGCGATTCGAGGAGTTCTATTTGACTCGATCAGTGGGTTGATGGTCTCGATCAAGGCAACACACAAAGCATCACAAAGCAACGAAGTTTGAGCTACAAAACACTGCATATACCGGCTGCAAAATAATGAGTGGCCGATGTTCAACAGATGACATCAAATTGGTGCCCTGCTTTGCAGAAGAACTCGCAACCTCTCGAAACCATTCGAAACGGTCACGCCGGGGAGATGTCGTGGCAACCGTTGCTGGACGAGTTCAAGACCTGGTATGTGGACTCTTGGCAGACTACACTCCTGGAACAATCATGCAATATGACCATTTTCCGCTACAAATCTAAACAGATGGTTGTCCACTTCCATGTTACTGGGTAGTATTTTTGAGATATTATTTGAACTTTGACTCTACATCCTGAAGTGTCACAAGATCAGAATTCCTGTATGTGCGCGCAGTGTTTCTTCATGTGTTCAATATAATCTCAAAGCTTTTACAGACTATTTTAGGGAGTCTATGGGACTGAAAGGCATACATTGACCCCAGTTCAGCCAGTTGTTTAATATAAATATATATATATGTATATGTATGGTACACCCCGGTACCTACCTTTTAGGTGATCTTACTGTATTTTGATTCCCATTTGTCATGTTTGCCCGCCACCAGCGCAGCCCCAGTTGACACTGACCGGTCGGTGATAGGTGGTGCATGTGCGTGGATAGAAGATTTGGGAACTGCCTGGTGGACGTGAGATAACATGAGAAGTCCCCTCAGAATTCCTGTCGCCGCTTTCGATGGCGGTGTCGTTGGTTTTGTGTTCAAGCATGTTCAAGTTCCTTTCCTGAAAAGTGACTCTTTGCTTTCAACTTCAACTTCTGTCCTGTCCTGTCCTGACTCGGGATAGGATGGAATTCGGCCCCGCCACCCGCTTTGGAGGGAAGAAGTTCCATCGATCCAAATGAGTTTCGGGAGACTTTGCCATTCCTGAAGCGTCCTGAGGACTCAGATGGCTTTGGCCACTACTTGAGCGACTCAGATGGCTTTGGGAATGGGCCATTGGGTTTTTTGACCGGGCGTGGATTCCTTGACGGAATGCTGGTCTACCCGGAAAACTGGAGGTGCTCATCCCGATTTTTCCAGCTGCGGATGATTCTTTGTTTTGTGATGACATGGGGAAGTGAAGTGCACCACCAGGGCCATGGGAACCCATCCACAGACTTGTCACAAACCCCATGATTCTCCCAGGTCGAAAGGTTTGGTTCCGAATAGCGATCCAAGATGATCCAAGCCATTTGCACGGACGGGCAGGTCAGCCCAATCGGATCTCATCAGGTTGCATATTATAGGAAACATGAGGAAAACAATGGAGAACAAGATGTTCCCGACTTTCCACAAACCATCCAAGTTCCGGCCGAAAACCAACTCTTTGTTTTTGTTTGTTTGTGTCATAGTGGTCGACTGTATTGAATATGAAGAGGAACATGTTTAGTGAGAAACTCCCGCGAAGAAGACAATTCAGATGTATTTTTCTAGCTACTAGTAGCGTCCTTGCTACTTGTTGTAGCGATGCACCTTGTTACTAGTAGCGATGCACTTAGCTATTAGTAGCGTTCTTCGTCATCCCCAAATCTTCGATGACGGCGCCGTAGTGGCTTAATCCGAATCAGAAGATCTTAGCACACCGGTCCGTATATTGCTTCCTTTCCTTCATGGCTTCAAGCCCGTCCAAGGGCATTTCTTGGCCCACTATGGGCACTTCTTCAGGGATGGTCAAGAGACTCACTTGTTTGTCTACACGAAGCTCCATCAGGACCGGCTTTCGTGCGACCCGGGGCCATCTTACGAGTCTCGGGACCTCGTCTTCTCCCCAGAGGCTCACAGCCCTTGGTCCCTCACAACCCGGGATTTGAGACCCAAGACCCCTCCATAGGATTCGGGTCCATGCGCGTTTGGGGTTTCACATATTCCAAGCTTCAGTGCGGTGTTTGCCGCATGCAAACGGCCTTTGAGCCGGATACACAACATGCCCACATTCTGCCATATCCTGGCAAAGGTGCAGGAGGTTTATAATACATCATGCAAGTCATCATGCATATTGCTGGAAATCGGTTGGCCATAGGTTGACTGGGGTTCCTTGTGCCCCATCGATCAGGATTCCCGCCCAGACTTGCTGACGTCGTCGAACGCAGGAGTTTGTCGAGAATCTCGAACAAGCAGTGAAGGTCTGGTTGAATTCGAGCCTTGCTTTATATTAATATTTTGAGAGGCGACACAACATAGGTTCAGCAGACCGTACTAACCACATCTAACCTCGTTTAGTCAAGCCTTGCTCCGTACTAACCTCGTTCTGCTTGCTCGGACAAAAACATTGTAAAAGTTGGGATTTACCAACTGGGCAGCAAGCATTGGGCGCGGTGAGTACTGTGCAACATTTGTTTAACATGAAGTGGTGACCAGCGGGGTGGTCCTTGTTACGCTTTTTACACAGCATCAAAAGGCACAGGATGCCATGATGCTATCGACTCATGTGATGGTGATGTTGGGGGTCCCTACAGATGAATGCTAAGAGACATGTAGTTTTTGCTCTGGCGTTCAAATAACGGCTGTTGTTTGTAGCTGCCCTGCAATGAAGTCTGAGAGACATCAGAAAAATGGTTGCATGATCCTGAAATCCTTTGGTCCCTTTGCACCACGAGCTTGGAGGGAAGTTGCCAAACGCCCATGCAGCCAATAGAAAGCGGTGTGACTGGTGTGACCAAAGCGATGACCAGGATGGTGTTGTTGAGGTTGACATGCTTTCGTGGATAAACCTGTGCCGTCTTTAGATAGCTCGGATACCTGAATCTCAGTGATTGAATGTCTTCAAACATGTACAGTATATGCATACTATAGTGACAAGTTTGTACACATACCCCCTGTCTGAATGACTTGCTCCTTGGCTCTTTACTAGCTTTACATATACTATATGCTCCAGCTGCTCGGACTCCAGCTCATTCAACCTTGGAGACAGTTGGATACTGCAGTTCATGAGCTTGAGAGTCACGAACATGAGGGTACATGTGAGTTCATGTTCCGGATGCCCGGTCATCTCTCGGCCCAATGAAGGGGCCCCTTGTTTAGCCTTCACATGGCTGCCATGGAGTGAGAAAAAAGTCCGTGCGGTTCGGACTTTCGGTCGTTGCTGTTGAGTCGGCATATCCATTGGTTTGCACTACATTGAGCATTGAGGTACACCCTTTTGTTGCTGGTTGTGTTGCTACATTGGTGTACATGCTACCAGTGCACACCAACTGCACTGGTAGCGGAGCAGAGTTAGCTCCGGGGCATGGCGGACGTCAAGGATCGGTTGAATGAGGTGCCTAGCTGGGATGGTTCCTCGAAGACTTGGCGCCGCTATTGCAAAGAAGTTGGATGGTATCTTTCTGGAACGAAGAGTTCCCAACGGAAGTACGTCGCTGCCAAACTGATTAGTCGGTTGTCGGGTGCTGCTCGCCTCCTTTCCATGTCCTGGCACCAAAGGGATTTTGAAGGTGAAGAAGGAGTTCAAGTCATGTTGAGGCGTTTCGCCTCCTCCCCTTTGGTGAGGCGTAGCCTTCCCAATGCGGCTGCGACGATGTCATCCTATTTCATGTTCCAACGACGGCCTGGAGAAAGCATTGCACAATTCCTTGTGAGGGAAACATTAGGTTTTGAGGAATTCCAGGAGGCCTTGCTACAACTCAAAGAGGAGAAAGACGGAATCTCCCCTGCAGATCGTTTGTTTGAGTTGCCTGAGATCACCACCTCCGAGACCTCAGACAAAGGTGAACGCTATTACAACCCTTGGCATCGAGATCAACGCTGGCGTGATTGGGAGGAAACCCCTTTTGAAGAGCAGGTTGAGCAAACAGTTGATGCCCCCGAGGGTTATGCAGCAGTTCCCCAAACATCCGACGCAGGTGAGGAAGCAGCTCCTCACTCACCGGCGGGGTCGCCAAACCGGACTCGTCAAACACAAAGGAGCCCTTCCCGCAAGACAGAGCAACAGAGGATGATTGATGGTTTGGGTCCTATGGATTCTTTTATATTAGATGTTTTGCGTGGCTGGAGACTACTTGTTGCAGCAAGCCTTACAAATGATGAATGGAGAGACATCCTAGCTAGCACTGGCAACAAGCTCGACTACCCGGCCATCGCTGAGGCTCTTCAGACCCTATGGGATGAACAGCTCAATCATCATCATGGAGCATCCAAAGGTACAGTGTTGCAACAACATTGGGTTGAGACCGCAGATCCTTGGTACAATGCTGCGTGGCACGAGTCCTCGTGGGATACTGAGGATTGGCATGAGTCGGATTGGCACTCCATGGACCAATTTGGGGCATGGCCTCAAGCTGTCAACGACCCAGTGGATAACACTGCAACCACTGATGATGATCCTGAACTCCAAGAAGCTTTGGAGGCTGAGAAGGCCGCAGAGGCCTTAGCAGTTGAAGCTCGTCGAACCTGGTCGCAAGCTCAGCAGGCTACAACAGCCCTTCGACGTGACCGTGGTTTTGGACAGTTTGCTGGAACCTCATCCTCAAAAGGTGGCAAGGGATCCATCCGTTGTCACATTTGTTCAGGTCCTCATTTTGCTCGTGATTGTCCTGACCGTCAACATCCACAGTACCGCAAGGGTGGTGGAAAGCAGTTGAGTCCAGCTGAGCTGGACGCCTACCTCTTCAAGGGCAAGGGGAAAGGCATGCGAAAAGGGAAGGATCAAATGATGTCCTCATGGGAGGATTCCTACATGGCGCCTTGGGATGTGATGTACACCCAGAAGGGCAAGAACAAGAATGCTGGCAAGGGCGGAAAGCTTCGTTCCACCGTCAATGTCTACGGCATGGACTATGGTGGGATGGATTTTAGCATGATGGAGCTCCACACGCTTGAGTTCCATGAGACGATGGAAGCAGTTCCTTTGGAGCTCTACACCTCCAATGAGACTCCAGCTCCTCGAGCCATCCCTGAAGGATTTGGCATGTTGGATTGCGGGGCTACGGCCTCGGCTGGACCTGAAGCTTCTGTCAAAAAGTTGATCGCCAAGCTGCGTGAAAGTGATCCACAGTTGAAGGTCACCATCGATGTGGAACGAAGACCCTTTTTCAGGTATGGTTCAGGTCGTTGGGGACAGGCCATGTACTTTGCCTCCATCAGCGCCTCCACGAACCCCAACGAGTCCTTTGAGGTGTTTGCCCTGCCGAATCCCACGGAGTATTACCAGAAGTCCTTCAAAGACTATATGCTGGTCCCAATTCTTGTCGGTATGGATTTCCTCACCAAGGTCGGCCTGGGCAAGCAGTTCTCACTCGCATTATCAGCTGGTGATGGAAGAGGGTTGGGACATTGAAGGCATTGACATGAGCACCGCCTTTTTGCAAACACTCCCCACTGAAGAGTCCAAGCGCCTGTGGACAACCGTGTCAAGGAGCTCAGGGACGCTCTCCAGATTCCCGAGCATGGTGTGATGCGCATTTTGAAGAACTTCTACGGAAGCACCACGGCTCCTAGGAACCTGTGGGAGAATGTTGACAAGAGCCTCCGTGACTTGGGAGCTGTGTCCATTCAGGGCGATGCCTGTTTCTGGATTTGGTTTGTGGACAATGAAGCCTACAACCCTGTCACGGATCCTGAGCACTTCAAGCTGCGACCCCTCGGTTTCATGGCTGGACATGTGGATGATTTTCACCGTGCTGGCGATGTCAAGGACAGTCGTTGGACACAGATAAAAGCAGCCATTGACAAACAATATCGTTGGGGCACAGCAAAGCAGAACAGCTACCGCCATGCAGGTACAGATTTGTCCATGCAGAAGGACGCTAAGTTTGGGAGATGTCTTGTGGTGGATCAACAGTTTTACATTGAAATGTTGCAGGACGTTGATGTGCATCCCACTCGGTTCAGCAACGGATCATCCACCATGACTCCCAAGGAGATTGCGGCCTGTCGGACATCACTTGGTGCCTTGCAGTGGTTGGCGGTCCAGTCACAACCGCTCATCACTGCTCGCTGCAATTTGCTCATTACTGAGCTTTCCACGGATCCCAAGATCCAGATTGCCCAGGAGCTACAAGAGATGATTCGGGAGCTGCGCAAAGAAGGGTCAACATTGAAGTTTTTCAAGTTGCCTGGCGTTCGTCGTTGGACGGATTTGTGTGTGGTTGGCCTGGGGGACCAGGCACACAACAACAGACCCCGTGGAGGGTCGACGGGAGGCATGACAGTTTTCCTGTCAGGCCCTAACGCTCTCAAGGGCGTCCCAACACCAATGTGTTTGGTGGCTTGGCGCAGCTGGAAGCTGAAACGGGTGGCGATCGGCACCAACGATGCCGAAATGCAGGCGATTGTTGAAACAGAGGATGTGGTCTATAGAACCAGACTGCTATGGGCAGGCATGCACGGCACCGGCTCCATCTTCAAGGGCCGGGATTTGCTGAGTCTCGCGGACTCTCAGGTCCGGTTGGTTCCTGGTGTGCTTGGGACCGATTCGAAAGGAGGGTTCGACTCGGTCATGGTGAATGAATCACCGCTGCTGGGATTGTCGAACATGCGCGCTGCCATACAGGCATACCAATTGAAGCAGGCCATTCGATTCTGCCTCACCAAGTTGATTTGGCTTGCGAGCGACTGGAACTTAGGTGACGCGCTCACGAAAAAGAAAGGAGACTGCAGAGACAGCCTGACCTTCTTTTTGCGCCACCGTACTTGGCAGCTCAAGTTCGATCCGAACTTCATCGTTTCGGCCAAGAAGCAGCGACAAGCTTCGAGGACCACACCCTCGCAGGTGATCGGCCAGAGGATCATGAACTCAAAAGAAAATTTTGGAGATGCAGTTCATGAGCTTGAGAGTCACGAACATGAGGGTACATGTGAGTTCATGTTCCGGATGCCCGGTCATCTCTCGGCCCAATGAAGGGGCCCCTTGTTTAGCCTTCACATGGCTGCCATGGAGTGAGAAAAAGTCCGTGCGGTTCGGACTTTCGGTCGTTGCTGTTGAGTCGGCATATCCATTGGTTTGCACTACATTGAGCATTGAGGTACACCCTTTTGTTGCTGGTTGTGTTGCTACATTGGTGTACATGCTACCAGTGCACACCAACTGCAGATACCAAAGAATCCACCAAACATCGGGAGACGAGACGACTCTGCATGAGTTGGTGGCAGGAGATGCATACTGAACTCTCAGGCTATGTGAGGTTCTATGTGAGGTTGCCGGTGAGAACCTCAAATCCCATGTTCTGACCCGGTAGTGCTAGATTTCATCTTGGAGCTCGTGTTAATGTCTGTGAATTCTGCATATCAACCGTGTCCATGGTGATGCAGCATATTGCAGCGTCAGGTCGCCCAGTGTTTCGTTTGATCTGAGGAAGGGTTTGAGTGACGAACATTTGGAGGCAGGGGCCTGCGACTGCGGATGGAGCTCGAGTCTGCTGAGCTTTATCGGCCTCATAGTGCTGACATAGCACTTGCAGGCAACGTGTCCAAGCATGTTCCAGTTGTGGACTTCGTTGAGACAACATAGAAGAATGACACCAAGCAATGTTTCTATTCACACCAAGCACTGGAAATACTGTGGCTTTCTCTATCGCAGGAGGCGCAGGAGTTGTTCGTTCAGCCTCGGTTTGGAACCGGATGGGTGGATTTAAGGAATTACGTCACATTGATTTACACTAGGGAGCTCCAAAGGGATGGCTACCGTTGGAGGTTGGCATCGTGCCCACTAGAGGATCTAGAGGTCCACTATCCTCACTTGGAAGATTTCCCAGCTCAATAGGAAGACCTGCGACTTTGTGAGGACACCCCTCCATTGCACCTCAATCGGTCTTAAACTTTGTCCACAACCCGTGAAATGGGTGATAGGTAAGAAATTATACCTCAAAGGCTCGAAATGTTTAATGTATTTAGATATGTATAGACATGTATATGCTAATGGGCTTAAAACCGCGCGTGTAGTGAAACTGATTTTTCATACAGTCCTTTGGGGGGCAAGAACACACACAAACACACGCGTTGGAATATGGAAGATGGGGACACGGGGGGTGGGGTTAGGGGGGAGGGGGGGTTGGGTGGGGGCTAGTGATGTTCATGTGGTGTGAATGTTTATTAGGAAGCCACACACGCACACGCTGTGGAAGAGGGTGGGAGTGAGGGCAGTATGTGGCAGTGAAGTACACTGGACCTGATCAAAAACACCAAGTCCCGCTCTCACGTTCAAGTGTGCGAGCGACGACGAGCACACTTTCTATGGCATGGAGTGCAGGTATTGGGCTTGAGCCAAATGAATTAAGCGGCAGCTGACTGAAGAGAATGTATGTACAAGTAACTGCGGACAAAAGGTGCTACACACGTATAGCGTAGACACGCCTAGGGGAACCTAGGACCCTACAAAACACAGGGGGCCAAAGTTTAAAGACGTTGCATGTTCAGTGCATCATAGCGCGTACGAAGATAAAGCCAGACACACACACAGACAGGTCGGTACGCGCAGGTGGTTGGGGTGTGTCAGTTCTTTTTTTAAGACGTCGACGCGTGGAAACTTGGCTTGGTGGTTACCGACTGCTTGTTTATTCCGAAGTTTTTCCGTTCGGGGGATTGTCAGATGCTTGACGTCAGGAGAGCTGCTCATCCACACCGGTGCAATTGATGGTATGTGGCGTTTGTGTAAGGAGCCGGTCCCCACCACCAGAATAAAGACGATCTTCTGACGAAGCTGGGTCAGAAGTTGTCCCACAGACTGTGATGATGATGCTGGAGGATGAAGAAGCGCGCCTCTTTTTGGCACGAAACCACAGTTTCGTAGCACTTCGATGTCAAAATCGCAACGATTTTTGAGTTGTTTTCATGTACTACATGCTGCAACAAGCCTTTCACATCAATGCAAAGCACAGTCACACAACGGACATTCGTCATCATTGACCACGTGAAGATTTGACAAATGTCTTCAACCGCACGCGCGGAAACGAGCCCGGTGGGATGTATATGTATATATACACCATAGACCATATATATATATATATGTGGACTATATATATATATGTGGACAGAGTGTATGTATAGATTGGCAGCCAGCACCCGTTCTTTGGGATGCCGCTGCCAGTCGCGAAACAGTTGGCTGCAGGGGATGTTGCACTTCGCCCAAGAGACTGGCGATGTGGATGCTGCCGGCATTGTGGATGCGCTCACAAGGATGCTGGAGTGCGCCGATTTGGAGCATGGGATCAGAACAGGGGGGAGAGGTAACAAAATAATGAATTTGGAAGTCTTAGTTGTTGGTTTTAGCTTTTTCCAGATGATTTCTGGATGTAATTTGAAGCATTGCTGTACTTGTAGCAGCTAGAGGTTCTGTATGACTGTATGTTCAACTGTAAACTGTATGTATGTGTGACTTTGAAGTTGCAACTGCTGAACCATGCTTTAGAATAGCTGATATTTGTCCAATCTGGATACGCTCCGTTACCTTTGTTTCTCTTCCTTCGGCTGCAGTTAGATATGAGAACAAATCCGTGTTGGGGTGATTCTTGGAGAGTATTCTTGGATGCCGAGAACATCCACTCAGTGGATGAGTCTGAAAACAGCTCTTTTAAAACTGGCACACTCCTTTAAACGGTTCATGGAAGTGCATGGCCCGGAGAAGATGACCATGTTGCCCCTACAAACAGTTGGTCTTCACATTCTTCACCTTCCAGGATTGATCTTGTCCGGAGTGTTGTTCAGCAAATCCCTCTTTCCTGCACCGTCCCGGGAAAAAGACACACTCGTGCGACGATATGCGACGATGGGACGACGGCGTAGCAGCTCCTGGACGGCGAAGAGGTACCATTCCTGGATCGACTACATCTTTGGATCTTCAGCTCAAGAGCGATCCACAACTCGGGGTCGGAACGCGGTGAGAAGTAGCGGAAGAGTTCCCAACGGAACGCTGAGTAGGGTTTGGCGGGTCTATAGAACTGCCTTCAAAGGAAGTTGGATTTGGTCCCCTATTACCTTCCACGGCGTGGTATAGCAGGTGCAAAACAGCCAGATAGCAGTTGGTACGGTACAGTTCCATGGGATGAAGAGATGGCAAATTTAGATGCGTCTTCAACGGCTGAGAAAGAAGAGAGAGAGAGAGGGAGCACGACAGCTGAAGCGCAAGTGCTCTTCAATTGAATGGAGATTTGGCCGCTGCTAAATGTGATTATTGGACTCATAAAATCTCATGACCCACAGTGATCCACTTGTGTCCTAGCTAAACTTCCTGTCAAATGTATTGCTTTTGATGCTCAAAACCCTGAACTTAGGGGAGACCCTCAAGACGGATCAGGAATAGTGGCTCAACCCCGAAAATCCAAGCCGTGGACCTTGTGGAAGCTCAACGTGCAGTTGCTACCTCAACGGGAGTCGTTAGTTCAGTTCTGGAATACATAACTACCTATTGGACTTCGGGGTCCCCAGAACATCCATTCGATGGGATGAAGCAAACCACCTACTCGTAACTCCTAACTCCTGGTTCTTCACTCCTCTTCAATGTAACACGTTTCATTGGAAATGGAGGACCTATAGTAGGGACTCTTGCCAAACCCTTCGGCTGAGGCCTGAAGCGCAGCCCAGAGGCCAAGCTCCAAATCACGAAAGGTAGCTTGAGCTACCTGAGTTCTCCTTGCTTTAGCAAAAATGTATTACAATCAGGAGTTGGGATTGTGCATTGAATTTGGTCCTGTAAGAGTTGATTCTGTTCGTCGGGGTGGATCAAATCCCCCCTGCGCCGGTTCACGCCGTCGTGGACTTCTACCAGGGTTACTTGTGATTGCCTGCTACCTTTCGTTCACCCCCTCCTCTCAAGTGTTAAAATCCTGGAAGGTTGGTTCAATCATGTGTTTTTCCATGTGATTTTGTTTAAACATATCTGTATATACATATATTATATAATTGAATTAGTTAAGCTCTATGCTTAAAAGTGATAGGTGGTGAGTCCTCCCTCGGCCAAAAAGCGCAGGACATAGCCTGGTGCAGGCACATACCTATAGAGAAGCCAGAAATTCCCAAAAGCGTCGTACCCTGGAAATACATGCAGAACATACATGATGTTTTCCATCAAACACGAGAAAGTCATAGGTTTATAGTATATAGACTTTGAAATTTGACAATGACATAGTAGTCAAGACTATTGGACTATAGAACTATGACTATACGACTGGTCTTGGACTGTCTTGTTATCGCCAAAAGGAGGCTTCGTAGACCCTTTGTGGCTGTGTATGTTCATCTCTTTTCCATCCGCTTCTAGTAACAAGTGCCTTACTACTAGGAACAAGGACGCTACTAGGGGCTCCTGGCATCGCTACGAACGGAGCGTTCGGACGCTACTAGTTGCTACCTTTGGGTGGTGCTGGTCCAGTGGTTTTGATCCTCCGGCATCGCCGGACATCGACAACAGTTCACCGGCGCATGGCGGTGGCGGTGCATGCATTGTGTGTTTTATTTGTTTGACAACAGTTCAAGCAGGTGCAAGAGCTCTTAAGCGATCAGTGGTACAAGCCTGGCTGGGCATTTTGGACGCATTTGGTGCTGGGGGGTGGTTGTTCTTTTGGTGGTTTTTCTTCGGAAGGGCTGGAAGAGGGAGGGGGCTGGTGAAGGAGTACAAACAGCAAAGCTTTGAGTGACTTCTGCACATGATTGATATGAAATTTGGATGGATTCCGGAAAGCTTGTGCACTGCGCAAAGGCAAAGCAGGACAAATGAATTGAAGCATTGGCAGCATTGTTGTTCGCTTGTGCCCTTTAACGGAACTATTCTATAGTATTCTATAGTCATATATGTCACATGTCCGAATCTGACACATACTTATCGCCGGGACCCCTGCTGGTTGACATAGTTAGATATATATATATATATCCAGGGAGTGGCCAAAGGAACTTTTGGCCATACGCATGTTCTGTTCAAAGTAGTTGGATGTGTTGGTTTCACCAAACACCCATGATTTCCATTTGTTTTAGCCGGAGGTTTACAACACCAGTGACCAGGTCAACCCAGAAGTTTCACTCATCTTGGAAGGCTGGTGGTCCTGTATCACATCTCACGGGACTTCTGGTTTCGTCTTCGCTTTGGCAATCCGTTTGCTGCAGTCTTTGCATCTGAACCCGCCCTTCACACCGCTGCGAACGCTTGCACGGCTTGCGCGCCGCTTGCTCGCAGCGTTCGTGCGCTGTGAGGACAAGATCGGTGAGAGCGAGGTGAATTGGTCCGTGAAAGATTGGGAGCAATGGACCAACCAGGCAAGGCGAAGCGAACGCGGCAGGCCGAGCGAACGCCGCCGCTTGCCAGCCGAGGGGTCGTCTCGGCGCGCTGCGTTCCATCGCGCTCGGGAGATGGAGAGCCCTGTTTTGGAGAGACGGCACGGACAAATTGCCGTTTTTGCAGCGGTGGTGTGACCAGTGGGAGCCCTTCAACATCCTTGAACCGTTTTGGTCCCGGAAATCTGCGGAACCCAAACAGTTCATTTTGGCGAAAACGGCTACCTGGTGCTGGTCCGCTGGGGAGAGGTTGATCTCATTGATCAATTTGATCTCCATGTTCCTGTAAAGAAAGATCATCTTCTCCGGTTATGAAATGAAACGAAGGGAGCCTCCTCCTGGACTTCCTCTCCACTGGGCGACCCAACAAATTCGCGACACAAACCAGCTTGCCACGCTTCCCGCCAGGAGTGGGAAGCGTGGTGGTCGACCCGGAAGGAGTGGTCGGATGAAGAGTGGGAGCAGTGGTACCAGGAGAGGCACGGAGAACGGATCACACAATCTGTCGACTGCCATTTGACTCCCGATCAGGGAATGATTACCTTGGGGTGGTTTGGGCGTCCAGTCCCATGGAGTGTATGGGGGATGGAATCTGGAGAATGCTGAACAGATCTTAGGGCGACTAAGGCATACCATCCAAAATGTTGAAAGATGTTTTTCGCTTGGTGAACACATTGTAAACCACTCAAACTTGGAATCCTTGAACCGCTCGGTGGCGGCTTTGCCGCCTTTTGTATCGTAAACTCTTCAAACAGCAAGAAGACGATGTCGCTTCGAACCGCATTGGAAAACACGTCGCTTCTCCACGACATCGCGCCGCCCAGCATGGTGCAGCAAAAGCTACCGATCGTGCAAAAAAGAAGAGCACCAGATCAGCACAGGACCAGAACGATTGGAGGCGAAGCTGGTGGGACGACAAATCCGACTCTGGGCACTCCGATCTTACTGATAATTATCTTGGGATGGAGATATCCGAAGGGTGTGGTAGGAGTGGGGCCCACACCCATTGGGCTTTGACTGCTCCGCAAGAGCTTTGTCTCACTTCATGCAAAACTAGGATGCAGCAGCGCGCATTCCCAGCTCACGTTGGAGGGTTCCAGGTGGTTTGCGATGTTTGTTGGGAAAGCAGACCCACTAAACATTGACAAAGCTGCCAAAGCATTGCAAACCGTTTGAGTGGACTGGGGTAGACTGACCAGAATGGACCTCTTTCGCATCAGTTCAGAACAACGCCATAAAGAAATCACACAGGCTACTTGATCATTCTATTGTTCCATGTTCCTGTTTGAAATCCCTGTAGGCCCCAGGCCCTAGAAGATGCCAAGTATTTTTCCCTGTCACCGCTTGTCCCAATGCTTTTGCATGTAACTCTTGTCCAGTGGAAATCCTCGACGGCCCAACGGCCCAAATGTCTGCTCAAGTCCACGAGCCTTCGGGGGGGATGTTCTTGGAGGTGGGCCATACTGTAAATCTGCAGTGGTTTCAGATGCCACAACCCCAAAAGATGCTTTTCCTTTAGATTAAATATCAACCACCAAACTTGGGGATTGTGCCATCTACTCTCAACCCACTATAGACTGTAGATGACTATAGGTGGTCTAGACAAACCACCGCCATGGGAGAGTGTGCCAGCTATCTAAATCTGTCGGTCGTGCTACCATCACCCACCCGTGTCGGGCCGTGGGGGTCTTGTCAAGAAGCTCTCCCTGACGTGGAGGGAAGTGGTAGAGACTGATTGCTGACGACGGAAGGAACATTGGCACAACCCAGGAACTGCTCACCCAGTGGACTGACCCCTGCCAAAAAGATCCAGACAATAAAGTAGTGGAACCTCAGGAGGAAGAGAATGAAGAAAACCATGCACTGCCAGGATGTACAAGGTATGTATAACATGTGACCATTTTGACAAATGTGAGGAAGTGCATGAACACAGGTAACGAGAACGATTATATATATATAGATAATTATAGATGAACAGAGTTCAGTCAAAATTTGGAATCCTTGACAAGGACAGCATGTGCACATATTGATAGGGTGGTTGCAAAGACGTTCAGTAATGTTCAATATATACATGAAGAATCTTCAACTAATATGTGGGAGGTCGCGGTTCGGCAGGATTCCATATGATTGTGTTTCATAGTTTGTCGTAGCAAATCAAAAACCGAGCAAAAGCTCTCAGCAGCTTTGTACCCTCCGCCAGAACCTCAGGAAGAGTGGGCCGACAAGACCTGGGGTGGCTACGGTGCAGGCGGGGCCTTCCACTCGGCATATATTCGGACCAACGAACGCTGGGCACGAAAAAAGGACGGAACATGGACAAAGGACAGCCAGAGCCAGACAGAGAGGTCCCAAGCGTTCAAAAGTTTGGTTGAAACATGTTGAAAAGGAAATGCATGCGTTTGGCCGTGTTTGTGCATTATGGATATGCGTGGATCATGTCTAAGATGTTTGGGAGAGATGTAGAGGAGCCGACCTCACAGGAAACACCTCATCGCATCGCATCGCGAGGCATGCCTGGCATGCCGAGACGTGAGAGACGTGCGGCCAGACATCCGACAACAAATAGCTGGAAGGCTTCAGAAAGAGGAAGATCTACTGACCATTGAAGAATATAGATCTATACACATATATATAGGGTATTTTAACAATATATGTTTATATCAAGCGTGTCCGGATACAGAATTTTAGCTTTACATCTCCAGGCTTTGCTGGTGGTATTAATCAACAGGCTGCATTAGGAGGCTGAAGCCAATCCTTTCCCGTAGCTTTTCCTGGAACCCGAAGTTTAGGGAAGGTTTGTTCTCCACCTTTGTTCTTCTCCACCCAAATCTCACTGAGCACATATGCTGTTGGATTCGGATCATGTGACTATCATATGTTTACAATTATTTACATATGTTTACTGTCCTATGTTTGTTTAGTTTGTATGTTCTCACAAAAAGACGGTTGGGTCATTCGCATGCTGTCACCACCACTGGGACCGCCAGGTTATGCACCACCACCGCCGCCCCCCTGAGCCGGCACTGCGTGTGGGCAAAGCGCACGGCATGCCTCGCTACCAAGTAGGTTCTGACAAATGAAAATAAACTTTTCCCAGACACTCCATGTATGGAATACATGCCTATACATTGACCCCCCAAACCACCCCAAGGTAGTCAAATACATGGCAAATACCATTCAGATATAGTTGACTTGTCTTTGCTTTGTTCATTCTTTTGACCTTACTTGCCCCAATTATATAAGTATCACTGCTAGCACCACGATATGTATATATTAGTATAGATATATATATTTAATACTCCGTGCAGGTGGAACGCTTGCAGACAGAAAACAGGATCCATCAAGACAGATCGCTCAGTTTTTGTGAAAGTGCTTCAGAAGGGCTGGGTAGTACTCTCATTCCAGCCACAAAGGACTTCGCTTTGTAAAGGACCATGCCTGGCGCTATGTTTTTGCTCCTTTTTTGCCGGCAAGGGTGCCTTGCCGGCCGTGAATCTAGTAGAATCTAGCCCTTCTCAGCGTGGCTGGCACTAGTCTTTATGTCGATTGAAGTCTTTTTTGGAAACTGGGAGGTATAAACACTCATCCACAAAAAGGGCTTCTTGTTCACTTCTCCAAGGTCGTTATTCTTTCAACGTGCTGTGACCAAAACCTAGCATGTTCATGGATGCTTTTCTCTTGAGCGGCAACATCATGAACCAAGTACACTTCTATGCTGAACAAAGTGTTTTACAGAGGTCATGTGTAGCAGCGGTGCATTTTTGGCGAATAGCCTCTGAAAAACGATCGTGAGTTTCTCGGCTCACCCAGAATACATGATCTTGGCCCATGTGCAATCGAACCTACTCTTGACAAAGAATGGGCGAATGGGGGATGCCCTTTTCCTTGTTGAGCATGACCCTGGGGCCTCACAAATCCCACACAACGCTGAGAAACGCCAAGTTCTGAGCACATCAGCCTGCTCATTTTGTACAAAGCAATTTCAAGCAATCTCTTAGTTCCCCACCAAGGGTTCCCCGCAAAGTGGAGAATCCTTGTTTCAATCTGGGCGGACGTATCGTGCGCATGACACATGCACGCAGATTGAGAATGAAGACAAAGGTCCTTCGCAGCCTGTGAGCCTGTGAGCAACTTCTTGGTAGGCTGTTGGCGCAATCTAGTATACCTAATATGTTCTCTTGGTAAATATCGGACATTTGCTTTGGTTCCTATGGAAGACTTTAGACTACAAGACCAGGTCAACCTTTCTTTAAAGTCTTGGAAGGCTATGATATAGAGACTCAACTATACTGTAACTGTATATATATATACACACATACAGACATGTGCTATGCAGATTTATTCAGTTATATTGTTGTCAGCATTTACACCATATTGTTGTCAGCATTTACACCATATACTCATGTTAACTTGGTGTGTGTGTGTATGACACACTGTCCTGCCAACGCCCCGTTTTGAGACCTGTGTGTTTAATCAGATAAGAAGACATGGCTGCAATTCTAATATCACACTGGGGTGTACTTGTACCGTGCTGCAACCAAACCTCACAAGTTGTCAGGTCTACCTGGACTAGTGTGTTTAGTAACTTGCTGGTCTACACTTGTTGGTTTACATTGTCACTTTTGTGCCACGCGGCAACATACAATTAAGTGATTTTGTGTGTTTGAAATACCTGGAGTATCAAAGCAACTCGGAAAATGAATATGAGTAGAGTCATACCTGTTTGTATGTGGGCACGTCCTATGTTTTGGGGGTACGAACTGCACGGGGTCCAAGTATATAGTATACTATTATTTTGAATGGCCGGTCCAAAGCCTTCCCACCATTCTCCAGTCTTTGGAAAAAAGGACACCGCTTCTTTTCTTCACGCGCGGTTTGGTCGGGCGGGAAGACCTAAAGACCTGCGCCAGGTTTCGACGATGCAGTGGCGATGCAATTGCGTTCGCCCATCTCTTTGAACAGGCCGAGTCCGAGTGAATGAAATGTCATTTTTGCGCCTCCAGAGGAGACATCTAAAAAGATTAGACTTGGTGTTGTTTTGCTCCAACCCAAATTAGACGCTATTAGGTGGAGGCCATCGCAAGTAGGTGAAGGCCATCGTTACGAACGTAACAAGAAGCTACTAGGAGCAAGAAGCTACTAGGGGCTCCTGGCATCGCTACTAGGCGCAAGGACGCTACTAGGGGCTCCTGGCCGTACTACTAGGAGCATCCTTACTACTAGTAACAAGAAGCTAGTAGGAGCAATAAGCTACTAGGGGCTCCTGGCCTTACTACTAGGAGCAAGAAGCTACTAGTAACAAGGGCATCGCTACTAGTAACAAGAAGCGGAGGTAGGCATCAACTCTGTAGAGGCAGATCGCGAGCCGCTCGCACGATCTCGCACGCACGATCGGGGACGGTATCCAAGCTGGGGAAATCAATAAACCCCCAGGCTGCCCAGGCTTGTCATGCTGAAGGAAGACAGGAAAGTCTGAGTGTTCTCTCCATACTTTCCCATTCAAAGCCCAAGAATGGTGTAACAAACACGATGTTGGTAAACCTTTGCCACTTGTTCGATATGGTACCGAGCACAACGGTAAATCTGATGCATTCACATGGAGAACGATTTTTTTGGACTGTCAGCTGCATGCATCAGCTTTTGTGCTGGCTATTCATCAGGACTTCTGGAGATTTAATGCCAGAAACTCCAAACGGAAATGCATGGGTTGTAGTTTCTCCGTTGTGTCCCACACGGCATGCGTGTTTTTCTTTAATGGGACCGCGGTTCAGTCCAGCCATCCCCCGAAGATGCCTCGATCTCAGTCATCCCCTAGCCTTGAACGACCATTACAAGATTTTAAAAGAAAGGTTGACCTGAGTGTTGGACCTGGGTGTTGTAGGCTAACATTCTTAGTAAAACCCATGGTTGTTCAGAAATTCAACCCATTAAACATCCCATAGTTCTTCAAATCCTCAAGGATCTACCGGTCGACCGTGGGTAGACCGGTTGTGTCACTGCCTGTCACACGCGTGAGGCTTCAAACCACTTGAGGCTCAGCTTCAGCTTGTCACCGGTCGGAGCTCCTGGGCCTTCTTCCCCCCGGCCGAGTCGGCGGCATGGAGACCGCCCGACTTCTCGCGGGCTTCGCCGGTGACGAGGGCTTCGTCGGTTGATGCGCCGCGAAGAGACGCGTGGTGCCACCAAAGAGACGCGTGGACGGCATCATGGAGATGGAAAAAGACAATCGCAACTGGCAAGTGAAAGCACTGAAGATCTCAGCAAACCCACCTTGCAGAGGCTGAACCTGGGAATCCTCTACACTTTGCTACAGCCACCAAAGTTTGGCCAAAGTTCTGGGAACCAGTGCAGGTGCTGGCTTTCTCGAACACGGTTGGTTGTTGGACATGGCTTACCTCGTAATTACTACTACCTTCTGGCAAGGTGTTAAGAGCAACTTGGCCAAGGGCCAATATAATATATATATATATAAATACTGGTACTGCGATATAATGACAATAATGGATGACTTTCCGGAAGAGGTCAGAGGAAAGCTGGATGGACTCCTATGGACCGCTTGGTCGCGGTGCGTCTACACGAGTCTACTTGATTGGTGCAAGATCATTGCATTTAACACCGGACAAGTGTCCAAGTCCATGCGCAATCCCACATCTTGCAAGTCGTGAATTGTGAATGCTTGAAACCATGCACAGCTGAACGTGTCATGCCACAAAAAGCAAATGATCGTGAAGCTGGGTTGTATAGTCTGTTGAACAATAGTACAAGATAATACAAGGGTCACAATCTGTAGAACCGACTATTCAGGGGCTCTAGTTGACCCCAAATAGGGCACCCAGAAATGTCAAGTGGAGCACCCACAGGCCCCCGAAATTGGTGGTGACCCGTCGCCGACATATTTCGCCGGTCGATTCCAAGAAAGGCTTGGACCCGACAGGTCTGGCCACCACAGGACGTCCTTTTTGCACTCCAAGTCGCTTAAATCGTTTGGAAACTACCACCTGGCCTGCTTTTGGGGAAAATGATGGAAAATGATCCAATTGGCCATGCCAACGACCTCCACGATTCTTTCAGGGAGTGCACGTGGATATAGACGCGGAACACCGGCCCACGTGCAATCCTCCCAAGCGGACTGTGCCACGGTTGACTGCATTGCCGAGTCTGCTGCGCCAATGCTGCCAACGCCTCACCCAGTAGGAGCCGCAAAGGGTGGGGAGCACATCCGCGTGAAGGTTGCTTGACACGTTTGAAGATGTTTGAAGTGAATATTCAATATGTTTCCATATTCTTCCATCCAGGGCTCCAAATAGATTACTATTTTGTCAAATGGTTTCGGATGGCTCCAACAAGTGTCTACCGGTCAACATTAGGTATAGTGCTGCCGCCTCTTTCCAATGGCCGATGTGCGGTCGAGTTTGTGTGGATGGAGTCGTCCCGACGGAGCACAGTGCGATTGGATCATGGGAGCAGCCCAATATATGTCCATGGCTTGTATGCTGGGTAGGCATATATGTTAATTGCATAATATATCATAATATTATATGAATATATATTATATGTACAGTACGCATGTAATGTATATGTATGTATTATATATATACACACATATATGTAAAACATATATAGGCATATACACAGTGTGTGGCTTCTATCCGTGGCTACCACAGCTTATGGTAGGCAAGCTTGCCTGAGAAATCGTATTGGATCGATGTTTCTTCTGGGCAGATGTGTGTTTCTCAAGCATACAGGAGCCCCTAGTAGCGTCCTTGCTCCTAGTACATGGGAATGGCAATGGCTTGTTTTGACAAGAGACATGTTGACCCTTTGGCTGAGAGTGCTGAGAGTGCTAAGTCTAACCCGTCCGGATCGATGGACCCCGGAACAAACCCCAAAAAGGGATCCTCCCTCGAAGCAGAGGCACATAGTGCCCGTAGGTGCCCATCACTTCCAAAACAGCCAGAAGTTCCACCACGGCCCCAACCCAGCATCTTAGTAACCCTTTCGTCTAAACAGCCATGC